GAAGTAGTTGGCAGTCCATAATGTGCTCAGACAAGATGCAAATAGGCTGTCGATGACTGATGACATTTGAAAGTTTCTTGGGATGTCTTCCTAGAGAGGTTGGGTCTCACTGAGCTGGTGCTAAACTCCTCTCCATTACTGCTTCTTTCCTCCTCTTATTTTTCACAACTACTTCCTCCTTGGCTGGCTCACTAAGCCTGGGACCTACTTTAAAGTTGAGATTAATTTCATGTAAAGAAACGTGGTATGTCCTTTCCTAAGAAGTCTCAGGATTTTACACTGAAGTGAAGTAAGAAGGACATGAGGAACTGCCCTAAGGCTCAGCATGGCCCACCCTACAGGGACTGCACTGAGCGTTGCCTCTTACTCAATGAGCCACTCATCCCTGCAGGCCCTCCTGTACTTCTAAGGGGTGTGCAAGAGAGGACTCTCTTGTATGTGTTTTGTGGCAATCTCCACATACTACATTCAAAAGAGATCAGCACCCAGAAATAAGCCAGGGGCCCTAAACCAAACAAACAAGCAAACAAAATTAACATGCAAATGAGACAACCATTGACAGTCACACCTCAGCACAGGCATGTACAGCTGCTCCCCCTGGTTCTGGGAAGGAGCACAGCCTCCGTGGGGTGGGAGGGATTTCCAGGTTTAGGGGCTGTGTTTAGGGATCAAGTACTTGGTGTGGATGGGCCCTGATGTCAATTCCTTAGTCAGAATAATAAAATACTCTCAGTGAGTAATATTTAAAATAGCAGATGAAGTCATGAACATGCTGGAGATACCCAGGGCTTTGGATGGGATCGCACCAATAGGTGTGTCCGGCCAGACACACCATGTAGAGCAAGGGGGAATTTGTCATTGCCTTCATTCATTAACTGTTTGGGCCAGAAATTTGGACAAAGTGACTCAGCACTCACGAGCAGACAGAACTGCACCTTTGGAGAGCAGGGCTGGGCTGAGTGAGACACCAGGAAAGGCAAACTGCGCTTTTCAGGAAAGGAGCCTGTGGCTCTCGCTGGCACAGGTGGAAGGGATGACCAGGGCAGATGTGTCCCTGTGCACGGACACAGCGCGCCCAGCAAGAACCCCAAGGAAACTGTCTCTGGAGCTGGGCTTGCAGGCACTCTCCCTCCAGGTGCTGTGGGACTGTTTGCATCCCACAACCTCCTTATCTCCCACCTTGCAAGCAGTTATCTGTCAATAAACCATTCAGAGAGACAAAAGGCTTGGAGCAGGGAGGGGACACACTGCTATTCATAGCCACGGTCCCCACCTATGGGTGCCAGGAGTCAGACAGGGGAGCACCTTATCAGGTGCTTGGCTGAGCAGCATTCAATCCTGTCCCAGGGCTGGGACAGGCAGCGGCTCCATCTCCACCCCAATGCAGGGGTGAGTGCCCCACTGACGTCAGGAGGCCTTACTTAATTTCCTGGCACGGGGACCATATTTTCATAGCTGTGTCCTGTCGGAGAGGAGAGGAGAGGCGGTGGAACTGGAACAGGCGTGCTCAGCCACACCTCCCCAGCCCTCCAGCTGTTAAAGCTCCCAAGGAGGGCAAGCGCGAGGCTGCTCAGATGGGGTTACAGAAGCGGAGGTGACTGTGTTACTGGTGCACTGGGACCTTACTTCTTCTAGCCGGAGTCTCGCTGTTGCCTTCTCCGGGCAGGACCCAGAAAGGTAATTCAAGGCAATGTCCTACAGGATCCAGGGCAGACCTGCCTTCTGCGGCTGGGGCGGGATGGCATTCAGGACCATGGCTCTGGGAGGTGGGAGAGCAAAGGCACAGGTACGGCAAATAGAGAATGCCTCCCACCCTTGACTCTAACATGGGATTGACAGCTGGAGCTGGGGGAGTTACAGCAGACTTTCCTTGGAAATGATTGGAAATTTGTGTCTGGATGGGTGTACTTTATGCACAGGTATCAATGAGAGAGGAGGCTCAGGCTGGAGGGAGAAGTCTCAGCACTAAAACAAGAACTGTGATTTGGGGTGAGCTGTGAAGTTACTGCAGCACAGGCTCCCTTGCACAGACTGCAATGTCCCAGACACTTCTGTAGGTGCTGGATGAGCAGACTCAGCTTCTGGGGGGCAACACTCACCCAGGAGACAGGGCAGAGACTCTTCATGCCTCATAGGACATCTACCCTGGAACAAAAAGAATAGGGAGTAAAAATCAGTGCAAGTGGCCCAGTTCTCCAAGGCAGCTAGATTCTTTCCATCCTATTTCTTGCAAGGGCAGTAGCAGCCGACTGTGGCAAATACCACTTGCAGGAAGCCTAGTCAGGACCCAAAGCTATGGGTGCGCTCTGTGCTGCCCTGGGGTCTCACGCTGGCTCTCTGAGCTCTCCACCTGCCCCAACAGCAGGCACTGCTCTGTATCTACCAGAGCTGTGAATAGATAAGCTAAACCGATCAACAGTAAATGTCTGTGGATAAAATCGTAGCATTTGCTCTCCGGATTTCCAGAAAGGTTCATTATTTATTACTTACAAATGTCCAGATAGCTCTCAGCTATTTTTTAAGATATCATAAATCCCCAAAATTTTGGGAACAATGACTTGTGAGAACTCCTGCATATTATTCACTAATTCCATTCTCTCCATGGGAGTCCAGAGTTCCTGCATATTTGAATAATTTGCATTTTATTGTAGCTAGCTTTTTGAAGAGCTGCACATCTCCTTTTACACAGTGAGGTTAAAAGCTGGAAAAATATTCCACCATTTATAAGCAGGTCACATTGAGGCATATGTGAGGCTGAGAGTGTTAGTGATATTTTCCCCCTTCATTCCTCCCTCAGTTAGATCAACTGCCATTTATTGAAGACTCAACCTACACTCCCTAAAGTCTGTTGGAAAGGTTTTAGAACCAGCCTCATAACTGCACTATGTTGTTCTGGAGGGGGAATATCAAGGCAAATGGCAGGGCAAGCACTAAAGACTAAGTTTTGCAAAGTTAACTTTTTTCTTTATATATCAGAAAATAAAGCCCTTGGATCCAGTGTGGATCACCATTAAGGCCAGATTCCCCTATGTTTCATGCCAATATTGTATCTAAATTCTTGTTTTGATCCATGTTAGAGACCTGAGCCCAGCTGAGCAATTTGATACTTAGAAAGCAGTACCTGGCCACTGGGATCTAAACTCACTCGGTGGCTGCATAATGGGCCACAAAGCGCCCAGTGTCCTTGTGCAGTGGTTTCTGCACATGCTTCAGGCTCCCAAGGAAGTAGGCGACTTAATTTCACTCAACAATGGGCAGAGCTCACCGAAACAGCCTTCTTATCCTATGGTGAGATGGGCTTAAACCAGGCACTTA